GGTTTATGTTGATGATATCATTTTTGGGGCAACAACTGAATCTCTGTGCGAAGAATTTGCAAAGCTCATGGGAAGTGAGTTTGAAATGAGCATGATGGGGGAGCTGAATTTCTTCTTGGGTCTTCAAGTGAAGCAGTCCACAAAGGGTACATTCATTTGTCAGCAGAAATACATCAAGGAGCTCTTGAAGAGGTTTGATATGGAAGCATCAAAAGTAATAGACACTCCCATTGCAATAACTACTTGACTGGACATGGATGAAATTGGATCTCCTGTGAATCAAACTATATATAGAGGCATTATTGGGTCCCTTCTCTACTCACTGCCAGCAGACCCGATATTGTCTTCAGTGTGGGGCTATGTGCAATGTTTCAATCAAATCCCAAGGAATCTCATTTGAAGGCTGCCAAAGAATTTTGAGATACCTTAAGGGGACACAGGACCTGGTCCTGTATTACCCCTCAGGTGACAGTTTTAATCTCATTGGGTATGCTGCTGCTGTCTATGCAGGTTATCTTGCGGATAGGAAAAGCACTTCTGGGATGGCTCACTTTCTAGGGTCATGTCTCATCTCTTGGGGCACAAGGAAGCAAAACTCAGTGGCTCTTTCAGCAGCTGAAGCAGAATATGTAGCTGCAGCATCTTGCTGTGCTCAACTCCTATGGATTAAGCACCAACTGGAGGATTTTGGGGTGTTTACTGAGTGTGTGCCTCTTCTATGTGATAACACTAGTGCACTCAACATGGCTAAGAATCTAGTTCAACACAAAAGAACCAAGCACATTGAAGTGAGACATCATTTTCTGAGGGACAATGTGGAGAAAGGGCTGATCTGTATGAAGTTTTGCAGCACAGAAGACCAAATTGCAAATATCTTCACCAAAGCATCGAGTAGGGAACATTTTGAAAGAAACAGGGTGAAGCTGGGGCTATTGAGGCCCAATTGAGAACCTGATTCCTCATCAATCGGCTATGAAAATCATCTTCAGGTAAGGCTAGCTAAAGTGTTTTCTGACCCAGTCTAACTCACTTCAATACCGTTGCAGGTAAACACGCATGATGAGTACAGAAGCTGTAGATGCATTGCATGGATGATAAAAGAGGATTGAAATTTTCAATAACAGGTCAAGAACCTGGTTCTTGTACCAAAGGTTAGTAGTTCTGTGCATTCTTTAATACACATCTTGAAAAGGTACAAATATCAACTGCCATGTCCTCCACCTTTTTCAGACCCTGCTGTCACGTCCCTTCACTTTAAATCGTTCCATCTCCATCTGAAACGTTGCATTTCTCCAAGCACAACCGCTGTTTCAGAATCTGTTCCTATCTATCTCTTCATAATTATCCACTTTCATTAAAACCCTTCTACTTTCTTCACCAACCATAGTCCTCCATTAGAACTTCTCGAAAGAACTTTCTCTCTATCTCTTCAATGGCTGCCACAAACTCCAAAATCCCTGCCTTAGTCATCTCTAATACTGAAAAACCCATGGAGTCCTCCGTCCCCAATGAGTCTTCTGTAACCACTCCTGTTCTTATCTCTGAAATCACTCCTAACCCAGATTCCCCATCTCCCTCCAGTTCTAAGTTGACTATCCCAGAAACCCCTAAAATTGTTGATCCTTCTTCTTTATCTTCTGAGTTTCCCATTGATCAAGGAAAAAGTGCAGAACAGGGTAAAAGTCCTGAAGTCGCAGAAATTTCGGCCATTATTGCTTCAGATTCCATGGTGGCCATGGAGCCTATTGAGGAAGAAAATTTCGTGACCATCTTTGTGGTATTTGCTGATGGCGTCTTACATGAGATAATTTCTTAGAGGAACGAGATACAGGGTTAGGGGGAAGAAGGAGCCATGGTGGTTGTTGAGGGCTCTACACTAGCAGAAACTACTGGGCCCTCTCGTGAGGAACCTGACCCCTCTCTGGAGGAAACAGGTCAGGGTTCTCACTCCCAGGCCAGTTCTGCTCCTGCATTTGCTGTTGCGCCCTTGGACATTCAAGTCCTTGAGATGAGGTCTAGTGATGAGGAGGATCTAGATAACATTGCTCTTGATACTTTCATAGTCAAGCGAAGGGTAGTGTCCACTCCTGAGTCTTCTACTAAGCGGCCTACTACTAGATTGCAAGTAAAGGTAGCCTATGACTCTGCCCTTCAAAAGAGCAGAAAAAGCAGTAAGAAGAAAAGGAGGAGATTGGTGAAAGACAATGTTATAGTGTGTGATAAGGTTGTCCCAGTGGTGGAGGTTGAGGAGGAAATAACTGAGGAACCTAGTTCCCTAGTAAGAAGGTCCCAGAAGAAGAAGGAATCTGCTTCCACAGAGAATGTTACAACCCCAAGTTCAAAGTTGAAGGATGTTGTGAGTGAGCTCTCCGCTTCTGATGAGGATGTGTTAGTCAAGTCTAAGGGAAAAGGAAAATCAAGTGGTGTGAAGTCTGGCAAACGAAAATCTGAAACCGTTGAGGAACCTGTTTCTGTGAAAATGATGAGGAGTGAAACTAGTTCTGCTTCAGAACGCTTAAGGCACCAAAAGGTCCTGTTGGGTCCCACTTTTGACCCAGCAATTTCTGATATGGCTGGTATGCGTCAAGTTCGTTCAATGGTTGAGTTTCAAAGATGGGGGTATCTGTTCCAAATGGATGCACCCAAAGTGTATGAGGATGAGGTTCAAAGCTTTTATGCCAGCCTCTTTCCCGTTGATACTGACCATATCTGTGCCTTAGTAAATAAGGTGGACATTGTGTTTGACGTGAGTCTGCTTGGAGATATTCTAAAGGTCCCTACGGTTGGTGTGTCTAGTGTGAAAGATGCGTGTCAGTATAATTTCCGAAATGCTGTGGTAAAGGATAATGCGAACCAAAAGGGGGACCAGATTCACAAGAAGGCATTACTCCCTGTTTATCAGTTTCTCTTCGAGTTGGTGAACAAAGTTCTGTTGCCTCGTGCTGAGAGGAGGTCTATGATTTCTAAGTCTAACCTGTTTTTAATGGAGCAACTGGATGGCTTTACCCCTGTCAACCTGCCTGCTATCATGATTGAACACATGCAAAAAGTGGCAACCTTTAAGGATGGTAATCATGATCTTCCATATGGGTTTCTGCTTACACAAATGTTTAAGTTTTTCAAGGTGCCGCTGGGGCAAGGCAAGGTAGGAACCAAGAAGCAGACCTTCTCATAAACAACGTTGGAAGAATGTGAGTGCATAGAGAAGAATGGGGGGTTAGGCAGTACATCAACCATCTCACAACTCATTAATGCTCAAAATAGTGCAACTGAGGAGATTCGAAGGTTGAAGGCTAGGAATGGTATCCTCGAAGGTCAGCAGGCCCAAGGGGCTCCGGAGTCAAATGAGGAAGTGGCTCGTTTGATAAAAGAAAATGCTGATCTCAGGGCACAAGTGGAGAACTTGAAAGCAGAATTTCTCAATGAGCAAAAGTCGGCCAATGCCCGAATAGACCTAGTTCTCCAAACTCTTGCTGCAGCTTCCAAGCCCTCTACTCCTAGTGCCCTCTAAGTAACCCTTTCAGTGACCAGTTTCTGGATTGTCTCTTGTTATTTTAATGACTTGGTAGTTGTGTTTGTTTTCTTTTGTTTTGATGTGGTTGGGATGTATCAGTACTGCTCCCGTTTTCAATAGTCCAATTCTGCCTTTGCTTTTTAAGCAAAGGCATATGTTTTATATATATATATATATATATATATATATATATATATATATTCTATCCTCTTTTGATATCTCAATTCTTGTATTCTCTGTTTCTCTTCTCTATCATGTTGTGTGCACATATGTGGCATGAGTTAGCTAGGCTAGTCTTCTTTATGATGTTTCTCTGCTTGTGTATTTTTAATGATGCCAAAAGGGGGAAGTATAATTGTATAATTGAAACAGGGATTTGATTAAGGGGGAAACATAACGTCAGGGGGAACTTGTGGAGTTCCTGTTACCTCATCTGGTTATTTCTGCTCTAATAACATGTTATCAATGTCTAAGTTTGTCATCATCAAAAAGGGGGAAATTGATGGGTTTTCAATGTCTTTGCCTTATGTTTTGATGATCTAACAAACTTACTGTCAAGAACCAGATAGGGAACCTGACACACTTTGTACACATTACAAATGAACGGATTCTAGCCTGGACTCCAGCTAATGTGAACTGCTATAAGTATAGAAAATAGAGAAACAAGTAAAGGACCTGATCCCTTGTGTTTCCCTGACATCAGTACGAAAGTCAATTGTGCATAGCTAGAAAGTGACTGCCACAGAAACAGTGCACACAGTGCAGCAGTTTTGCAGTCACTTACCTTTGACTGACCAAATGCTTACATCATTCAAGTGATGTCATCAAGAGTGTATTAACAAGAGCATTATAACAAAACATCACTTGAACACTTGAGATTTTACTTTAAGCATTCAAGTCTTCTGCAAACAGTGAACTTATCTCTCAAGAGCTTGAAGAACAAAGTTAAACGCTACTACGGACCAGTTCCTAAATCGAGTATTTTGTTTTCCTTAGTTGAGTTGTAACTTTGTGATTGTTCTTATTGTAATTCTTAAATTGCTTAGCTAGAAGCGTTGCTTAGGAACCCCTTTGTAAAACCATAAACTTTCTGAGTTTGTGTTGTGACTAGAGTTAGTCATAAGTTAAAGTCTTTATAACTAGTGAGTGACAAAGTGGCTTGTGGTAAGTGTATCACAAGTTAGTTGAGTTGAAGTCTTTGTAATAGAGTCATTATAAAGTGGCTTGTAATAGTGTGTTTACAAGTTAGTGAAGTTGAAAGCCTACAAGTGTAGGTCGTGGTTTTTGTCCCCTTGAGTGGGATTTTTCCACGTAAAAAATCCCGTGTCTCAGTTACTTACTGTTTCATTAATATTCTCAGTGAAAACTCATAGAGGACCAGGTACTCTACAGTTTGGTGGACTCATATAAACTATCAAGAATTTTTTTAGTTCTTTTTGTTTATACACTTTATTCAAACCCCTTACATTCCATGCTATGAAGCTCATCATGATATGATAGATAGTTGTGGAAAACTTTCCCTAGCCTTCTTGTTCTGCTTCTCTTTTTCATCTTGGGCTTCAGACAGTTGGACAATTTTTTGAGCAGTATCAACCAGTGTTTTGAACGCATTACCAATGTCCACTTCCTTCTCCCTTATGACATCTGCATGCTTCTTTGTAGCAGATTTGCCTCGAGCTACTTGCCATTGTGGTTCAACCTTTGGATTACTCTGCTGCAAAGTTGAGACTTCCCCCAATTGTTTAATGAACCTCCCTTGGGCATCAATTTTATCAGCTACAGGTTCAAGTCATCTAACTTTCCTCCATTCCTGCTTCTGCATTCCTTCCCCAGTTTTTTGTATCATTCCATCCTGTTTCTGCTTCCTTTGGTCCTTACATATATGGCCTAGTTGACAACACTTCTGACAGTACATTGGCTTCCAATCATAGTGTACTAATTGCTCTAACACCTTGCCTTTAGGATCATAGAGCTTAATCTTCTCTGGCAGTGGCCTTGTAACATCCATCTCAATTAAAACCCCGGCATATATAATTCTCTCTGCAATTGTTGTGCAAGCATCAACATATAATGGTTTTCCCAATCCACTTCCAATTTTACTTAAAGCTTGGTTGCTCCAAAGATTAAGAGGCAGATTTGGAAACTTGATCCACAGGGGAATAGTCCTCAGCACTTCTTCATTGAAATCAAAACTCTCCGACCATTGCCTCATCATAACTGGCCTACTGTTAATTGTATAAGGTCCATTCATCATCACCCTCTCTTTCTCTTCATTAGTACTAAGCAGGATAATAAAATAGCCATCGTTATGGAATAGCACCTTAGGTTTCTGCACATTTGCCCACTGATTAGTGATGAACCTTTTAATAGCTCCAATTGATGAAGTATTCCCCACCACATAGAGTATAACAGCTCTAGTCCACTTTAGGTTTTCTTCTTCAATGTCCTCATCGATCAACTATACTACTACTTCACAATCCTTCATTATCGGGGGTATATAGGTTAGATTCATACCTTTTGCTACTAACTTGTTCTCCTGAAGTAGTCCTGCCCATGATCGTCCCTTATCTACTGTTGGAATTGAGCTCTTCTGTTGGTTTACCTTCTGATTATCCATAGGATTAGCCCTCTGTTCCTTGCCTGGGCTTGCATGCACTGTTCCATTGGTTTGTACCACACTCGAGCTGGGTGTCTCACTTACAATCCTCATTACACTATTTCCTTTGTTTGAGTTTTCCATCGATGTCAATGTTTTGCTAGAATTCACTATTGTTGTTTGATTTCGATAATTGCCCAGATCTAGCCAATTTTCTTCATTGTCACTGTCCGGATCTAGCTCCTCCTCCTGTGTTTTCTCCTTAGCTTTAGCCTTTCCTTTTCCTTGTACACATATGCTATAAGCATTTTTTATAAAGTATTTTCATAATTTTAGGGTATTTAAATAATAGCCCAATTTTTAACCTATTTTTCGAACCCAAACCTTAGCCCAATTACCTCAAGCCCAAAACCAAACACCCCTTTAATAAACCCGATCGCGACTCGTTCCAAACGACTCGCCCAACCTCATTCTTTTATCTTGGCTGTTGATCTCACATGATCAACGGCCCCTAATAAACCAACTCCTTTTAATTACCCCCTTACCCAAAACCCTAACCCATATTCCCTTTTAACCCGCCGCCCTCAAACACTCTCCACTCTCTTCTCCTACGAACCCTAGCCACTGCATCTCAATCTCTCCGAATACGGCCCTAAGATGGAATAAAACACTGATTCCCTTATCTTATTGGTCTCCTCTCGCTAATGGTAGTCCATTTGTGGTGTTACCTAGGTGCTTGCCTAAACATGGCAAGCAATATCTTCCGGAATCGAACCAAAGTGGTTCGAATCTTTGGTTCTAAGCGCTATTTCGTCTATATACATTCAATACTACACCGTGTGAGACTAATTTTGTTTAGATTCTGCTGATTTACACATTCCCTAAAAAACTAGGGTTTGAGATTTCCCCTTTTCCTTTACTGATTCTCGATTATATGTGATATTCTTCCCGTCTTTGTGTTTGACTGATGAGTTTTCCTTATTATTCTGTTTAACCTACTGTACTTCCTTTTTTATGTGTTAATTGACCTAAAATAGATTCTAATTGATTCTCGCATGCTATATTTTTCGTATTCTGTGTTTAATCTACCGTATTTCCTTATTTTTGTGTTGAATCTACTACTATATAAATCCCTCCCCCAAATCCCCTTCAACAGACTTTGGAATCACCTAATTACTGCTATTGTTCTCACTACTCTCCTCTCTTACTCACTTACTCACTGTTACAATCGAGCACTCTCCAAAATCATTAAATTTTGGGCCGGCTAAAAGCCAAGGTCATTGAATGACCTCCTCCGGTGCAAGCACTGCTCGGAGCCCATTCTCGAGGCTCTTGTGAACTCTGAAGCATCGGAGACCTCGGTTTTTGCTACTACACTCTTTATTCTTTTGATTATGCTACTGGTTAGTGTTTTGAACCTTTGCAATGTTCAATTTCTTTCCTTCTGCATACTTATATGTGTCTGAACTACATAAGCATGATTGGATTGTGAGTCCATAACATTGCCCTGCTGTGGTAATGCTCAATTGAACACATGAGATAGTTTACTATTTGATTTGCACTTCTGAGATTCTTTGCTTTCTGGAATGAGTTTTGTCCCTCTAGCATCTGAATATGTTCTATTTTGAGCAAGTCTATTTTGATATGAATCTGACTACTGTGCCTATATGTTGTTAGTTATAGAATTTCTTTGTGTGTTTCTTTAGATATCACTACAAGTCATAGAAATCACCCCCCCCCCCACCTTGAATGAATCCTTTAAGTGATGAGTCTTGTGTTTGATTGACTTTCCTTTGTGTACTATCTTAAAATTTGCTCTAAACATGTTTCCTTGCTGTCCTGATTTTTAAGATAAACCCTCTGGTCTTTTTACCAACTATGACCTTGCTTTCTATGCTAATGTATTTCCCCAGTATGCTTTGGTTCATTTGCTACCTTGTCCTTTCAGTGATTATCACAATGTGTGTTCCCTTATCATGTCTACATGCTGATTAACATGGCACTAGGATGTACTCAACTTAATTTGGATCTTTAGGTCTCAACTAGTTTAATTTCATGTACGCTTGCAAACCTATTTCTTCACCTAATTCCTTCAATATAAGGTTGTCTATGTGGTACTTTGCTATGTATACTTTGCTGAACCTATGGCCTGCCTGACTAGTTGCCCTGTATGCTCAATTTGGTGTATTACTTGATTCCTTTTCCTCTATCACTATCCACTCTCCTTTCTTGCTACTCTACTATTCTGAATTCTCATTCTTAGCCGGCTGAAAGCCAAGGCTATCTAGGTTCTATTGTTGGCCTCCCTAGTGTGAGCACTGCTCGGGGTCCAATTGAGGCCCTTGTGAACTCTGACACACTAGGGCTTAGTCCTAGTCACTCCCTCAACCTCCAGAACTGTTCCTACTATCCTACTTCTTTGTCATGTATTGTGTGCTTGTATTAGTTGTTCCGAGTGGTGCAACACTTGATGCTGTGGTTAAGTAATTTGGTTTGGACTCATCTATGAATTTTTGGGTCGTGCATTGAACGTGGCTTTTGTTGAAGGCTTGGAGATATTTAAGGCTAGCAATGCTGGGTATTTTAGTTATTTTATTTGGGTATATTGTAGGCCTGTTCACTGTTATGTAACATTCATGCTTTCCACTCATTATTGGGCCTGTAATAACCTTCTGTATAAACAATTGGGGTATTAGTAAAAAGGGAATGGGTAGAATTTAATACCTACATGCAATAGGTAGATAACAGGCCTATAGGACTTGGTAATATGTTTGCTATATGTGTCATATGCACACTATAGGAGTCATGCCATTAGGGAAAGCACACACTCACACTACTTGTCTACTAGCAAAGCGTGAGCTCAAATGCTTCAGTTATCCTTGTTGCTACATGTTATTAGAAAACCTATCCATAGGAAATACATATCGTTGAACTTTCTCTCAATTTGCATCACTGCAGCATATGTACTAGAGACCATGCCTATAGGATTTTAATCATCTCATTTGTTATTGTATCACACTGTTCACCTAGAAAACATGTCTATAAGGTTAAGGTATAACAGTAAAATCAGTTCCAAGTGCTAATAAAGATCCTGCCTATAGGATACCACAATTCGCTTTAATAACTATTAAAGATACCCCCTCTCAACATTGTTTATTGTTCACTTAGGTTACTGGAAAAAGCGCGAATAATTCTGGGTTTCTTCCGATAGATTCCACTGTCTTTACTACATAAATCACTTAGACGCAACATCTACAGGATTAATAACTGGAAATCTGCAATTTCAACAATCGATATAAGACAACTGTACAATCCTGTCTATGGGCAACGTTTGGTTTCTGAAACTGCTTGCATGCCTTACTGCTTTGCCTCATAGAAATCATGTTTATAGGGATTTAAGTTCTTAATTCTGAACTTCTTAACATAGAATTTTCCTTGCGTGCATTTGTTGCTTAAGTGTGGAGGTAAACTTGAGCCTTAATTGCCTATGTGTGACGTCCAACGTATTTTTGTATGTTGCCTAATTTTGACATTTCTGAGCAGCCTAAATTAGGTCTAGAACCTCCCAAATAGAGGTCCAATACCTCCTGGACCATAAGTATAGGACGAGTAGTGCACGCATAGGGTACGGCCTATAACTGAATTAGAACGCTTTTAGGTAACAACTTTAACATAGTAATCGGGTAGTAGGAGATGATAGTTTGTGCCTGCTGAATAATACGAGTAACACCCCATCTTGAGGGAGTTACAAAGTATTATTTATGTTGCATGTGGTGATCCTTTAGGCTAAAAAACTTAGGATCCCCCATCTTATTTCTCGTCTCCTTGAATCAAGTCGATGTACTCATCTATTTAACATCTTTTATAAGAATATCTCCAAACATTGTGCTCTCTCTCTCTCTTTGTTTATTTGACTAATCCATATAATTCAAGTTCGGCCGGGATCGACAGTTGTGGACCTCGAAGAGTGCCTAACACATTCTTCTCGAGGTAATTTCGAGCCCTTACCCAATCTTTGGTGGCGTTGACTAGTTAAAATAGAGCCATTTGCAAATAAGTGCCCTAACGCATCTTAAAAATCGTTAGGTGGTGACTCTTCTCTTTTAACCCTTCCTTTAAAAGAGTTGTCAATGTTGAAATCCGCTTTTGCGAGAAAAACGGGGCGCGGCAATGTTATTTAGACTGATCAGCACCCCAACAACATTTATGCTCCTGATGAATGGTGTATTCCAGCCTTATTGATGACATCTTAGTGTACTCCCGCAGTCAGGAGGACCAGGAGCAGCATTTGAGGGTAGTGCTCCAGACCTTGAGAGAAAGAAGTTGTATGCAAAAATTTTGAAGTGTGAATTCTGGCTTAATTCGGTGGCGTTTTCGGGTCATGTGGTGTCGAGTGAGGGGATCAAGGTAGATATGAAGAAGATTGAAGCAGTGCAGAGTTGGCTAAAACCATCTTCAGCTATTGAGATCTGGAGTTTTCTCGGTTTAGCCGGGTATTACCGTCGTTTTGTAGAGGATTTCTCATCTATTGTTGCATCTATGACCGGATTGACCCAGAAGGGTGCTCATTTTAGATGGAAAAATGAGTGTAAGGAGAGCTTTCAAAAGCTCAAGACTACTTTGACTACAGCCCCGGTGTTGGTGTTACCTACGAGTTCGGGGTCTTACACTGTGTACTGTGATGCCTCATGTGTTAGCCTTCACATGGTGTTGATACAAGACGGTAGGGTGATTTCCTACACGTCTAGACAACTGAGGTTCATGAGAAAAATTATCCAGTCCACGACTTGGAATTGGCAGCTATTGTTCATGCCTTGAAGATTTGGCGGTACTATTTGTATGGTGTCCCTTGTGAGGTTTATATCGACCATCGGAATCTCCAACATCTGTTCAAATAGAAGGATCTTAATTTGTGGCAGCGGGGGTGGTTATAGTTTCTTAAGGACTAAGATATCACTATTCGATATCATCCCGGGAAGGCCAATGTGGTGGCTAATGCCTTGAGTCGAAAAACGGACAACTTGGGCAGTTTAGCATATCTATCTGCAGTAGAGAGGCCATTAGCATCGGATGTTCAGGCCTTGTCCAACTAGTTTGTTAGATTGGATGTTTTGGAGTCGACTCGAGTTCTGTCTTGCATGATT